CTTTCCCCATAAGAACTGGCAGGTTACCTTCTTGGTTTTTGCTAATACAGACCACATTTTTTTAAAAAAAAAAAAGTTATATGCCATACAAACACAAAGAAACACATATAATTCAAAACGTTTTGTGAATTCTTTCATCTAAAAACATTGATACTTGTCATAAAATAATCAGTATTTCCTTACCATGGGAACAGGCATTAGCATTCAAGAATGGGTTCCTTTAATTGCACTCTGGTAGCGATCACCAGAGAGAGACGCCCAGGATCCATTAGAAACATAGCAGCATATTTTGAGCCTGAATGTTAACTGAGATCAGCGTCCTATCTGAATTTAATGTAAGTTACTACTAGGTTGATTAGTTGTAAATACTTTGTAATTTGAAATACCTTGTATGTTTTCATAACAAAGGGAATATTACTATATTACAGATTTCTTAAGACTTGTTGTCTAGCACTTATGAAACAGAGAGCTTTTGCACCATTATGTAAGTAATCACTAAGATTATTGTATTGTCTCTTGTTATTGGTGTAGCATGTATTCTAAAAATTGTATTTTTGTACACTACAGAATATCTCCTGAAGAAGATCCATTTTTTGAAACGTTGTTATATAATCCAGAGACGACGTTGATTATGTACCTTGGTTCATTTTCTTATGATTTGTTTATCACGTTGTAGTGCTTCAGATGGCAATACATAGATAGCATTCTTTATAAGTCTTAATGATTGTTTGATTTGTGGGTCAGACTATCACGACTGTTGGCTTTATACTTGTTTACTGATCGGGTCGTGTTTGTCCAGATTTATTTTACAAACCGAGTCAGCCATTTCCTGCTCTCACTACTGTGAACAGACTAACTTTTGCCTAATTTGCACGGCCCTGCAACAGGGTATTTCACAGGAGTTGCTCTGTGAATAAAATTATAGGTCCCCATTTTTTGTCAGCTCTAGAAGGGTCACCCTGAATATTACACCGTTTAACAGCAAGTAGGAAACATAGTTTTCTGTTGCACAGCCCAGCAACTGGCTATAGTCAAAATATGATGCAATTACTCTTTGATTTTACAAGCTCTGTTCAGACATCAACCAGGAGTTTGTTTGTGATGGGCATGAACCTGGGTTACTACTGTACTTGACCATTCCCTTCCTTCTTCCCTTGGGCAGGCTCTCAGGTCTGAAGATTTCTTCTGTTTACCTTTGACCAGTCATGGCATCGAGGTACTGGCACCATAATAAATTTGAGTTTATTTCCTTCCTAGTAACAGGGATTCTCAGCTGTATTCCTTCCTCAATATCAGTGCAGCTCACAAGGGAAGACAGGAAGTGAGCGATCCCACCAATAAGCCAGGGTTGTGACCACCCTGAACCAACTTTGGTTTGTTTGCACCAACTGAACACAGGTTAAACAGGACACACCAGAATGAAGCAGAAAAGGTTTTTCAGCGTATGTATTTTATCTCACTTCCACTACAACTAGATTGCTAGGGCAAGGACCAGTGAGTGTCATGTAATGACATTTAACACTTCAGCTGAACTAGAGTACAACCAGTTCTCTGCAATTACACAGAAAGGTTAACAAGGTGAGAAAAGCATTTACACTCTGAAACCCAAATCACCCAGATTCCTGAAGAGAGTGGCATCCAGTTTCCTTTCTCATTAGGAACAGGGCAAACGTAACTGTAGCAGCTGTCAAGAGTTTGAATTCATTTCTCAGCTAGCGGATGGGTGCTATAAATCCAGGATAACTGGAACTACCTTCTATATTCTGTATACTTTAATAGTAGTTAAAGTATGTTATTACTGCAGTGATGTGATTTTCAGCCATCAGTTACCAGAGCTTATGTTAAGATCGACTGAAGTAAAGAGTGAATTCCTTTTACTCTTGGCCTGAACTTGGGATGGAGGTGGAGTGACTGGTACCAAGAATAGATACCCGAAAGCATTTAACCTTACACTTAAACAAGCCCCCCCAAGCCCCTTCACACTTTTTTAACCCTCAAAGTTTACAAAATAGCTTGTTGCCTGGCACATTTGCCTAGGGATTCCTTGGCCAAAAATCCTCTCATCCCACCCTGTCCTTTAAATTCTAAACTGCCTGGCAGCTTAAAGGCTCCAAGGAGATGGGGAAGTTGAATTGAGAGGGACAAGTGTCTAAAGAAGGACATTCTTTATGGCTACTTCCCTCAGCAAGGAAGCATCAGGCCATTTAATTTCCTTCAGCCTAATTTCCAGACCCTACTATCTGTGGGTTCATGCCTGTGCACTGCTTTCTGCCAATTTTCAGTAGCAGCATGAAGATAGCACATGTGTATGACCCTCAAGTCTTGTGGGTTTGGGGGGTTTTTTTTAAAGAAAAAGAAAAAGAAACCCAAACATGTGCAACATTTTCCTGCATGCTTCTACAGTCCCTCCAATATATGGGAAACCCCTCCTACCATGCTTTTCTACCTATGTATAAGATACCCTCTCTGAAACTAGCTGGAGGAGTATCTCAACAGAACCTTGCTCAAATTACAGCAGAGTTATTTTATGTTGCGAAAAGCCACATTTAACTGTTCTAGTACATGGAAATATCAGCCTGAGTTTGCTTCTACCGTGTTTTCCACACAGAGAAACACACAGATTTTGTAGCTGCCCCATTATTGGTGTGGCCACAAATAAAGTGTAGCAGCAATAGGGCTTCCACATGGCTAGTTTTACTCACAGTTTCACTGCTAGTTTACCCACGGGGGCTAACTCCCACCCAAGCCAACAGGGGTTTTGGAATTTTTTTTAAACTGGCACTAGAATGTCATTATGCTGTTGTACCAACAGGTATAACAATTTCTCTGAATTCCCAGCTTTCAGGTTTTTAGTCCCTTCTCTTGTGGAGATATAAGTAATAAAGTAAATTTTGCAAGGGAAAGGGCTGGAGACATGGACTAGAAAATCTGAATTTCCTACCCACACAGCAGCCATCTACAGAGATCTTCACCAAAACTTCAGAGCAAAGGAGGTTTGAGAAAGACTGGAGAAAAGCCAGGGAAACCCCCAGAGGTGCATGAATTTCAGCATCATGCGGTGAGGAAACAGGAAAAATCCAGCTTCCCAAAAGCACTGTATTACGGTCAGATAACCCATGTGAAAGACATCTACATAGAGGATTTGCTCCAGTTTGGCACTAAAACTGGTTTATTTGTTTGAGCATCCACATGTAATCCACTATCCATGTTCTCCTCTGCTTTGTTCTGATATTTCCCAAATCTGGTTTGATAACGATCTTTTGGAAAAGATAACAGTCAAAGTGTGTTTGCATGCTTTGTGGACAGAAAGGTGCATGCTATTGCAAGTCCCACCCAATTGGTAGCATTTTCCTTTTATCTGCCCCCTACAGCTGCCACTTCCTCCCCCCCACACACACGAGGGCTCTTATGACACAACAATTACTGATTATTTTTTTTCAAAACCACCAAGAAGCTCCTGGGTGGTGCAGGTGAGTAATGGGGTCACAGGGGGCTGACTTAAGCAAAGTGCAGGGGAAATGGCTGTTTGGATGCTCCATGGCTCCTGCAAGTCAGTTACACAGACAATAACTGCCATGCAGAAGCAGTGAAAGATTACCTTCTCCACTTTTTCCTATTTGAAACTGTCTTTGTGAGTTCAAGTAGGTTCAGAATTCCCAGCTTTCAGGTTTTTAGTCCCTTCTCTTGTGGAGATATAAGTAATAAAGTAAATTCTGCAAGGGAAAGGGCTGGAGACATGGACTAGAAAATCTGAATTTCCTACCCACACAGCAGCCATCTACAGAGATCTTCACCAAAACTTCAGAGCAAAGGAGGTTTGAGAAAGACTGGAGAAAAGCCAGGGAAACCCCCAGAGGTGCATGAATTTCAGCATCATGCTGTGAGGAAACAGGAAAAATCCAACTTCCCAAAAGCACTGTATTAGGGTCAGATAACCCATGTGAAAGACACCTACATGGAAGATTTGCTCCAGTTTGGCACTGAAACTGAAGTTTATTTGTTTGAGCATCCACATGTCATCCACATGTCATCCACTATCCATGTTCTCCTCTGCTTTGTTCTGATATTTCCCAAATCTGGTTTGATAACGATCTTTTGGAAAAGATAACAGTCAAAGTGTGTTTGCATGCTTTGTGGACAGAAAGGTGCATGTTATTGCAAGTCCCACCCAATTGGTAGCATTTTCCTTTTATCTGCCCCCTACAGCTGCCACTTCCTCCCCCCCACACACACGAGGGCTCTTATGACACAACAATTACTGATTATTTTTTTTCAAAACCACCAAGAAGCTCCTGGGTGGTGCAGGCAAGTAATGGGGTCACAGGGGGCTGACTTAAGCAAAGTGCAGGGGAAATGGCTGTTTGGATGCTCCATGGCTCCTGCAAGTCAGTTACACAGACAATAACTGCCATGCAGAAGCAGCGAAAGATTACCTTCTCCACTTTTTCCTATTTGAAACTGTCTTTGTGAGTTCAAGTAGGTTCATATCTTTGGCCAACAGTGCTGTTCGGTTGAAACCACATCCCATGAGATACTAAGCAGACATTGGCTATTTTCTCCTTCCACAAAGGATATCAGAGCAGCACGCATGTATTTATTTCTTATGATTACTCTTTGGCTACAACCCTTCCTAGCTATGTTACAAGAACAAATATTAATAACAATTTATCCTTGACAACACCATGTTTTATATAGCCCTTTCAAACTATTACACTTGAAGCAAAAATTCTGAGGACTACAGAACAGAAGGCAATCTTAAACTGTGTGTATCAATCATTTTGAACTAATGAAAGAAGTGCTGGGAGATCACATGAATTCTATTAAAATGCACAATCTCTCTCTTATGACTAAGGTACTAAAAATAAGTATCATTACCTTCACGAAATAAAAAAACCCTCATTTAAAAATAAGTATCATTACCTTCACGAAATTTAAAAAAAACTCCTTTTTGTGTCATCATGCATACCATTATAGGATGAGCTGACAATCCTCCCACTCACCTGTACATTTTCTTCTGTAACCTGAATTTCAGCAGTGTAAACATATTCAATGAGCATCTTCAGGGTCCAGCCATCCACTTCCTTTATTCGAACTCTCTTTGCCTGACTTTCACTCATTTCACCTATGGTATACATGGTTTTATAGTTCTGTTAATTTAGAAAGACACTGACATCAACATATTTTAACATATCACAGAGGACTTTATTAGATAGCAAATGAAACTTAAGTTTTCTATTTCCTCCAAGAGAAGAGAGCAAACTCTACATCACAAGGCTACGTGGATTAGCATGCCACTTCTAAGCACACAGGCTTGCCTAATAAGGTTCATGCAGGACAGGAAAGATGCTTTGAATTTTAAAAAAACAAGGCTCGAAATCTGTTACTATCCTGCTGCTGCTGCTGTTGTTGTTGCAATAAAGTCACAGCTGACTTACAGCAACCCCACAGGGTTTTCAAGGCAAGAGATGTCCAGAGGTGGTTTGCCACTGCCTGCCTCCACTGAGCTGCCTAAATCTTTTCTAAAAAAAACTGGGTGCCAATATCAAGCTCCTGTGCAGTCAGGATTTTTCTAGGCCTAGAATTCTTGGTGGTCACAGAACTCAACATGTAACATCCATATGAACAGCTAAAAATAAGACACAAGCCAACATATTCTTAAGGACACAAGTATATCCGTAACTTGGCACAAGCAAGTTCAATGCATTTTCATGCCATGGCGGTTGAAACTGCCCTAGAAAATTCCATTGCCACACAAGGATTAATATTAGCAGCATTTGACTCATCATCCCCTCAAAACAATTTCACCTCTACCCAGAAGAGAAGGGAAACATGGCATGAGCTTGTGGAGGCTGGAACACTGATCATGAAGACCATCTGCAGCGCCAGCACAAATTTTTACTGAAGAGGATTCAGAACAAGTCACCCACAGCAGAAAAGCCAGCTCCTTGTAGGAGGCTGTCTGATGTGTAGGACTTTGTTTAGAGCACAGTGGGGAAAAGCCCACCCGCAGTCTTCCCAGTGCACTGCAAGGTGGAGATAGCTTCTTCCTTTCTTATCCCTACACTAAAGTAATCAGCAAGATGCTGGGGTTACTAGAGCAACAGAGAAGCTGGTAACTCACTCCAATAGTTCTTTTTTTTTTTTTTAGACAGAATACTATGTCTGGGGGCAGTGATACTCTGTATTCTTGGTGCTTGTGGGGCAACAATGGGAGGTCTTCTGGCATTCTGGCCCTGCTTGTGGATCTTCTGATGGCACCTGGATTTTGACCACTGCGCGACACAGAGGGTGCGTTCAGACGGGGTGTTTCTGCCGGCATAAACTGCACCGGTTGGAACCGGTGCAGTTTATTCCGGCTGAAACGTGATCACACTCTTCAAGTCTCGCCTTCCCACCACCGTCTGAGGAGGTAATAGATTGCAGCAGCCGAAGCTGGTTTCAACGGAGATGAATAAGAGTTTCAACAGAGGTGACCGACCTTTTTTTTTTTGTTCTCTTCTGTTGAGTTTCCATGGGCAATGTGTTCACTTTAAGCACCTGGGTTTTGACCACTGCGCGACACAGAATGTTGGACTGGATGTGCCATTGGCCTGATCCATCATGGCTTCTCTTATGTTCTTATGGGTGTTTTCCTGGGTTTCCTGGTAGATGACTGGAGACTTTCTGTCTCACTTGCTGATAGGGATTATTCCCAGCTGCAGAAGGGACATCCTGGGCCTTAGGCTAAGAACCCCAGGCCAAGAGCCCTTGTGTTCTTGTCCTTTGGCTCATTATAAGAGACTCTCGCCAGAGGTGCTGGGCCTTTAGCTCAGTCCACTCAAGTGCTTGTCAAACAGATGCAGAAGGAAAGAAATTTGTCCTCCTGGGCTACCCTTAAACAACCAATCTAATGAAAGTCTGGAATCCAGACTCTGGATAGAATATTAGACCTATCCTTAATATGCTGATGAATTGAAGTATGAATATGATTCAATACTGATCCACAGAGTTTTCCAAATAATATTTTATTGGATACAAATGCAAACTAATCCCTGTCTTTGAATAGCTGGTTTGAGTGTATGACTGGTTCAGAACCACCCTTGGTGCCTGGATTGACTATTATGGCACTCTACAATAGATACGTTGTTTGCATGTATTTTCCTCATATTACTTCTACAAATGGAGAATCCTTGTGGTATGTAGGTTAGGTGTTGGAATATTACTAAAGAGACATGAGTTTTGTCACTCTGCCCATGAAATCCACTCCAATAGTTCACTGCTTCTCAGACATCCCATTCTGAGCTGGTGCCTAATTCCTCACACTCCCTTTCTATCTAAGAATCAACATCCACCTCAGGCTGTGACACCTCTGCTTGTAAAACCAACTGAGCATTGAATCACCACACATCACAGGCAGTGCAGAAAACTAAGTGGCAACGGGTTAAAGAGAGACCAGAGTCATTAAGAAAATAGTTCAATTATCATTCTCAACCTGACAGAACAGTGGCAGCGCCAATAGTATTTCATATGTTGAACACAGGGAAAATAAGCCACACAGCATGTTTTCTCAGGGGCCACACAACCAGCACAGTGCAGCGCTTAGAATGTCAGATTAGGATCTGAGAGACCCAGGTTTGAATCCCCACTGTATCATGGAAGCTTCCTGGGTGATCCTGGGCAAGTCACTCTGCCTAACTACCTCACAGGGTTGTTCTTTCTAGAACAAAGTGAGGGGGGAACCAGGTTGTAAACTACTTTGGGTCACCACTGGGGAGAAAAGCAGGGTATAAATAGCTAAATGCATACATAACTGAAAATTAAAGCACCAAAGAAAGGTAAAGGAGATGAGACAGACTTCAGAACTTAATATTTTTCTAAAGAGAAACTGAACATTTATATGCAAAACAGTGATGTCTACAGAAAGGAACCTGACCCAGGAGACAACTGGCTTTAGAAACTTGCAGAGCAAAAAGAGGCCAGCTGGCATGAGAAACTTATGGCAAGATACACAGGCCAGCTGCCATCTGAAGTTATGCAAAGGACAGTAAAACATGTATTCCAGCAATAACATGCCAAAGCCATTAAATCCTTCATGACAGCGATACGCATAACATTGTCAGTCTATAAATACAATTACTGGTGTCTCAATCTTCTTTATCACCTCACTACAGTCTTTTGAATTTGTCCACCTCAGTGATTCATGCAGGCATGCTTTCCCCATTGACAGCAACATTTCAAGTTGTAACTTGTATGTCTGAATGCCCCATCACGGATCAAATTTTTCATATCAATAGCAGCTCTCGCATTCACCAATATCCACAAACATATGTACTAAGATTAATACTGAAGAAAACCCTCAGAATGGCTTGTCTCTTTCAAAACAGGATATTTTTGTTTCAATTTGTAACAAACGATTTAAAAACATGGTACCTGTAAACATGGCATGGAAGTACGGACTGCAAGCAGCTAACACAACTCTATGAGCCGCAATTTCCATATCTTCAGCTACTATTGTCACATCACATAGCAAGTTTTGACTGAGCAAGGAAAAAGCAGAAAAACAGAACTTGTAAATAAGATTGGGGAGAAAAGCAGGGTATAAATATCTAGCCACAATATGGCAAATATACTAATTAGTCTTTTCAAATATTCAGATTTGGAATGCTTGCTTTATATTTCAAAAAACACAACCATTACTCAGTTTGGTACAGGCCAGAGTCTGGGAGCAAAGCGATTTTGCTAAAGCCCATTAACAAAAAATTTCCCTATTTTGAGCCTTGTTGAAATAAGCACAGGACAGCAAAAGCATTAAAAAGGCAACTGTGTGATTCGAAGCAGAATTACATCCTTCTAAGTCTACTGAAGTAAATGGGCTTAGAGCAGCATAATTCAATGCAGGGTTGCACCATAGGATGTCTGCCTTTCCCCTTTTCCCTGATACAGTGTCCTTACAGTACCTGTACTTGATCCTAGTTTTAGCTTAGGAAAAAACAATGCTCAATATTATTATTATTATGACTACTACTAGTAGTACTACTACTACTACTATTAATCTTATTAGATTTCTGAATCGCCCAATGCCTGAGTACACAGATGTTGAGAAATTGACTAATATATGGTTTTATATCTGCTTACACACGCAACACATGGACTGTGCACACACCTGTATACCATAGGCCTAGAGGAAGCTGTTTGCATCACCTACTGTGAGAGATTTCACATAGGGAACACTTAAGACTAGATGTCACGCAGAACATGGACCTGATCTGCATCTGAATTGATGGTGCCTTGTCCACCTGGTAAAGCCAAGATTCATCTGCACATCAAGGAGGGCACAGGAAGCCGAGACTTCACACCTGGCCAGATGGTGTTCCATGAGATAGAGTGTAGAGTTTCAAATATCGCCCAACCCATAGAATACCTGCCCCTTTCTACATGCACCAATGAGGGAGGTCATGGGATGGACTTGTAAGTAGGTGGGATTACAGTTTGACAAGGTGCCACCCACCCAACTATAAAAGTAAAGACCAAACGTTAGGTCTTTGCTAGCCACATCCCTTCTCAATGTCCTCTATCTTCCTTTCTACCCCTAAGGTCCAGCTTCCTATCCAACAATCCCTTTGTCTACTTTAAGATCTCTTGGACTGCAGCCAAAGAGGTCCATACTTTGCTGGCTGGTTCTAGCAAGTGTGATTTAGCTAATATCCCTAGGTATTACTTTCTTCCCCCTATTTTACATTGCATCAGACAAGACTTCAGGAACAGGCAAGTATAAACCGATACCTACCTACCTCCAAGTAAATGAGAAACTATCTTGATATCTTTCCGTAACTCCAAAGGAACCTTGAGTGTATCAGAATGTGAGACTGATTTTGTATGTGTGATTTTGATATTGCTCAGTAAAAGGACTATTTGTTTTGGAAAAACACCCGTCTCATCTCCATCACTGGTACTCTCTGGTGCTGGCAAAACCTCCGTAAACTTTGGCAAGGACTCACATTAAATTTAGTTAGCCATCGGCTGTAAATAAAGCCGTTGGCGTAACACAGAGCTCTGGGCAATTTACACCAGATTAAAACATACAAAAATACAGATTAAAATCAACAAACAGTTTATCTCAATTTCACAATCTCCAGTTGGTGTCTATAATTTAACTTAAAACCTCCTCTGGACTGTTCTTCCATCTCATGGGCAGGTTATTGGAGGAGGCCGAAGTGGGCAGGGTACGAGGGTGCCAGCTATGATGGAAACGGCTGCTGTCCTCAGCCAAAAGCCTGGTGGAACACCTCTGCCTCACAGGCCCTGCGGAATTGCATTAAGTCCAGCGGGGCCCTGATGGAGGTTGGCAGAGAGTTCCACCAGGTCAGAGCCAGGGCCAAAAAAGCCCTGGCTCTGACTGAGGACAGCCAGATATCTTTGGGGCCAAGGATCGCCAGCAGATTACTCTCAGCAGAGCGCAATACTCTCCCAGGGACATACAAGAGGAGACAATCCCAGAGTTACGCTGGTCCCAGACCACTCAAGGCCTTAAAGGTAAATACCAACACCTTGAATCTGACTCAGTACTCCAGTGGAAGCCAGTGTAGCTGGCAGAGCACAGGTTAGATATGTGCCATCCTTGGCATTCCCATCAGGACTCGTGCCGCCACATTCTGGATCAGCTGAAGTTTCCGGGTCAGTCTCAAGGGAAGGCCAGCGTAAAGTGAGTTATAGTAGTCTAATCTGGAGATGACCATCGCATGGATTACTCTGGCTAGGTAAGGGCGCAACAAGAAAGGGGCCAGTTGCCACACTTGGCATAGATGGGAAAATGCCAGTTTGGCAATATTCGTGACCTGGGCCTCCACAGTTAAGGAGGCATCCAGGACTACGCCCAAACTGCTGGCAGATTGCACTGGTGTTAGTGGCACCCTGTCAAGTGTGGGAAGTCTGTGCCCCAGCCCTGACGCACACACACCCCAGCCACAGAACCTCAGTCTTCATTGGATTCAGCCTCAGTCTACTCTTTTTTAACCATCCCATAACAGCCTCCAATCCCTCAGCCAAATTTTGCGGGGCGGTATCTGGGTGGCCATCCAGTAGCAGATATAGCTCTGTACCAGCTGGGCAAGGGGCTGCAGATAGATGTTAAATCACATCAGGGAGAGGATTGCTCCCTGAGGGACCCCACACATTAAGGGGTACCTAGTTGACACTTTCTCTCCCTGTGCCACCCTCTGTCCCCGACCATGGAGAAAGGAGGAAAGCCACTTTAAGACTACCCCCGAACTCACACGTCAGCAAGGCAGTGAGTCAGAAGATTGTAATCAACTGTGTCAAACACTGCTGTGAGATTGAGCAACAACAGCAGCACTGACCCGCCTCAGTCCAGATGTCTGCGGAGATCATCTGTCCAGGCTACCAATGCCATCTTCGTCCCGTGGACAGGGCGGAAGCTGGGCTGGAATGGGTCCAATGACAATATAACAGCAGGGCTGACCCGCCTCAGTCCAGTTGTCTGCAGAGATAATCTGTCCAGGCTACCAATGCCGTCTTCGTCCCGTGGACAGGGAGGAAGCTGGGCTGGAATGGGTCCAATGCCGATATGTCATCCAGAAATCTCTGGAGCTGCTTGGCTACCACTCTTTCAATCGCCTTACCCAGAAACGACAAATTCAAAACCGGGAGGTAATAGGCTGGATCAGTAGGATCCAAAGATGGATCCTTGAGCCCCTCTTGGAAATTAATTCCCAATCCTTGCTGGTTCCCTTATGTAAAGTTATATTTCTTTTCAAAAACGGAAATGTTGGGGGGAAGTGAAATAATAGTTACTTTCCTATCAACCTAAACATCATTTACCGATTAAATATAAAATGCATTGTTTATAACTTCGCATATAAAATGGCACTATTTGGTATACTCAGACATCAAGTTAAACTTTATAATGCTGAAAACACTAAAGTTTTAAATAATATACTATACATCACAGTATATTGTTGCCAAAGTTACTTTATATGTAAACAAAAATTTCTTCTACTGTGTCTAAAAAGGTAAAGGTTCCCTTGCTCGAAAGCCAGTCGAGTCCAACTCTAGGGTTGCGGTGCTCATCTCCGTTTCAAAGCCGAAGAGCCAGCGCTGTCCGAAGACGTTTCCGTGGTCATGTGGCCAGCATGACTAAACACCAAGGCGCACGGAACGCTGTTACCTTCCCACCAAAGTGGTACCTATTTATCTACTTGCAATTTCTTGCTTTTGAACTACTAGGCTGGCAGGAGCTGGAACTAGAGATGGGAGCTCACTCCATCATGCGACACCCGGGTCTTGAACTGCTGAACTACTGACCTTCCACAGCCTGCAGTTCAGCGTCTTAACCACTTGAGCCACCGCAGCTCCACATAGACAATTAATGCTGTAGATGGAAATTTGTATGCAACTACACATTTCAAGTGGTCTTTCATTTCACTCAAATCCAAATGAAAAAATGGGGAGGAGGGTTGAGTTCACCAAAATTTTCCAGTGGAAAATGTCCTCTAACTGTTCATGTCACACATTTGAGTGAGAAAAACTTTGTCTTAAGGAGCGTTTCATTCATTCTAAAAGAAAAAAATAATAATAGGAGGGTTGATTTTTTCAGTGCTCCACAAAGTTTCCCAATTTGTCTATTGGAAAAAATGATTAAAACTCTTCTTCTCACCTAGCCTTTCACATCTCTAGTTCAGTACAACTCTTCTGGTTTTAAACTCACAAATGACACTTACCTGCCTCCCCTCAGAAGGCAGGGGCACAGAGAGGAGGACCTGTGAGAAAGATCATAACTGGTAGATTGTACGGTACAGGAGGAAGGGGTCTTTCAGGTGCCCTGGCCCTAAGCTGTTTAGTTACTTAATGGTGAGAACCAGTACCCTGCATTGTCCCTGGAAACAAGATGGGCAGACAGTGCAGATTCTTCTGGAGATGGGTGACACAATTCCTGTGTCCTGCCCCTTACAGCAGCCTGGCTGGTAGATTTTGGCTGAGCTAATATTTCCAGACAGTTTTCGAAGAGTACATTCCAGTAATCTAACTTGGATGTAATCAGTGCACGGATCAGTGTGATTTAGCAGCCACAGCTGATAAAAGGCACTACATGCCACAGAACGTGCCAACTGAAGTCTAAGATGCAGGCACATCCCCAGACTACAACCTGCCTCCTGCAGGAGGGCTGCAATTCCCTCCACGGCAGGCTGACTCCTTCAGAACGCTGAATTATAATACCCCCAAAATTCTACTGCAGAATCAAAATTATGAGTTCCTTGTAATCAAACAACTTTCCTCATTTAAAGAGAACCCACAGCAAGACATAATTATCCAAGAGGATCTTGGCAAACAGGAATTAAGCTAATGTGCTATTAAAGATGCACAGCCAAAATCTCATAGGGTTGGATCCCACAGATCTGAACAGCCTTTTGCCAGAAGTTAGAAGAACACATTTGTGGGATCCAACCCACTGCTTTCCTTGGCTCTTTTCCATAAAGTATTTTTTAATGTACAGAGAGAC